TTAATAGTTTAAACAACCAATCTCTTTAACTTAGTAATTCTAAAAACTTTATTAAATAGGTCTGACAAATAACTCTATTTCATTAACATATATATTTTTAAATTATTTATATAAATCTTTATTTTTATTTTTAATTACATTTTTAGGAAATTTCTATTTAGTCCTTATAAAACTGTCATTTAGTATATACATGCGAGAAATAAAATTATATATTGACGTAACTTAAATTACCAATTATTTTGAATAAAATGTAGTTTTTTTAAGCAATTCAATCATTCAATTATAATTACATGTTACGTTGATTGTTTGTCTTAATTTTTATCAATATTCAACGCCAATATAAAGATGATCACATTATTCATATTTTTATATATTTTAGAAGCACATGTTCTTTCAATTTTAGTGCATATCAAATGTGAATTAAAAAAATTTATACTAACATAAACTTTTGCATACATTGTTAGTGAAAGGATCTCTCACTCTAACAAATATATTTTGAGATAAGATTTTTTTTTTTTTTTTTTACAAATTTAATTAGAAGTTGTAGAATAATGCAAAATTATTATTGGTGTTTTTGATCTTTTAATTGATATACAATTTATTTTTTATTTAATCTTGATAATTCAGATATGATCTGATTGTCTACATTTACATTTGAAGTTATTGTAAAACAAAATGGTATACATTTTTAATCATCATTCATTAAAAAAATAAAAACAAGTTTTCATTTTATATACTCCTTACTTATTCCTACATTTGGATTGTGAATATGTCACTCACTCAATTAAAGATTCTCAACCCTCTCCCCAGTTTCCCCATTTCTTGAGATGTATTCCCACATTGTTTATACAACCAAGCATAAAACGGTTATTTTATTTTATTATTATATTACTTTATTTTATCTTTATACTAGTTTTTTTTCTTTCAATATCCTAATCATTTCGATTTCAAAACAATTTATATCGCCATTTTAATTATTCACTGTAAATTCAAAGTATAATTTAAATGCAAAAAAGGTGCATTCATGTACCAGTTGAATGCCATTTTTCCCCTATACTAGTCCTTTAATTTATGCAATATAGAAACATATTCATTATACATAAATAAGATTATAATAAATCAAATAATATATTTGAATATATAAATTATACGTGAAATTTAAATAAATATTAAATAGATATTTTAAAACATAAATAATATTTTAGATTTATGATAAATATTTTATATTGTAATATAAAATTATGTATTAATTGATAATTTATTTGAAATACTAATATTTGAGGAGGGTTATAATAATACTCATGTAATTTTTATTAAATATTATACTACTTAATAACTTTATATTAAATGTGAATTTTGTAAATTTAACCGTTAGATTAAAAGTTCATATTATTTTATATATTTATATCAAATTTTGTTAAAATTGAACAATAAATTAAAAATAATAAAAATGTTCGTATTTTAGTATATTTTGAAATATATATATTACGTCAATTTTACTTTATAATAGTAAAATATCAAATCATCTTGGATTAATATAAAATTATATATATATATAATATAAAAGTAAATCTAACGGTTGGATTTATAAAATTTATATTTAATATAAAGTTATTGAATGATGTAATACTCAGTAAAAATTGTACAGGTATTATTTAGAGTTTAAAATTTTCAACTTAAAATGATATATTCATGTACCAAATAAATGTCAACCCTTTTATTAAAACATAGACTTTTAATATTTTTTTTTGGCCGAAGGAGATGCATTCATGTACTAAAAGTGAATGTATTTTTTTTAAACTTTAAGGTTTTTTTTTGTTGAAAATTTAATGTATCAAAATTTATTTATTTGAAAAGTTAAAACATTTTGTCTTATGCTCTCTTTGAACACAAATATAGAAAAAAAAAACATGAATGATGAACTTAAATATAAATAAATCTTAATTATTTTTACCGTATTTAATATAATTATTTATAAAATATCTCTTATTTAATTGAAATTGTATTTTCAATGACTTATTTTTATTCTTAATAATAAGCTTCAATAAAGATAATATAAAAAATACTTTTAACCGAAATTATTAAATTTTATTTAACAAAAATAATTAAATTATTCATATTTTATTATATTTTAAAATTTATATATTACATTTATTTTAATTTATATAAATGAGATATTAAATTATCTTAAATTAATATAAATTTTTTATATATTATAAAACATTCAAGTACAATATTTCAATTTTATATTACGATATAAATTATTAAACATAAATATTAAATATAATTTATATAATTAAAAATATTTATTTATTAATTCTATAAATGATTATAACTGTATAAAATAAGCAATTTTGCAGTATAATGGAGATTTGAAAGTAGTTGTCTCCCCTATAATAAATAAGAAATGTGATTAAAAATGAAATGATTGATGATAAAAGGGGCAGATGATGGTCAAGTGAATGTCATGTTTTTGCAATTTGGAAAGAAAGGGAGCGAACGACAAGCTTGACGACAAGAAAGAGCGAAGGGTGTTAGAAACTCTTTCGTTAATCCCTTTCGGTTAGGGTTTGGTCTCTTTTCTCACATAAACCACCGCGATCACAACAAACACACGGCACCATAATAGCAATTGTGCCACGCCTAAGCCTCATTCCTAGTCACCGCCGGCGACCCTTTTCGGTATGATTCCTTCTTTCCCCTAACTTCATTCAATTTCCCAACTTTCTTTAAAATCTTGCAAAGGCTTTCCTTTCTTCTTTCGTAATCGTGTTTATGTTTATCAAATTTGTTCATTGTTCAATTTCCCCCAAATGCGTGCTCTGTCTTTATCTGCAATTGTTCTCTGATTTGGTATTCTAATCAGTAAATGGTTGAATTCGCCAATTCACTGATGGTTTCTGATTGAAGTTTTGGTGAATTGCAGATTGGGGCATTGTTAGGGGACTAGGGTTTAAGGAAGCTTTTGTTTTGGATCATTTGGTGTTTGCTGGAGCATGTGAGATTGTGATTTTTGTAATTTGGCTCAGTGATTGTGAGAAGAAGATTGTTGGGGCAAAATGACAATACCCAAACGAAGCTATTCTCGAATTGACACATTGGAGCTGAAAGCTCTGATTGTTCGGAAAATTGGTCATCAGAGAGCTGACAAGTACTTTGATCAGCTTCGAAGGTTATTGAGTTTAAAGATAAGCAAGTCAGAGTTTGACAGGATCTGCATCACGATAATGGGGAGAGAAAATATTCCTCTTCATAATCGACTCATTCAAGCGATTCTGAAGAATGCTTATCTTGCTAAAGTTCCACCTGTTAGAGGCTCTCCAAGAGGAGGAAGTGCATCCAGTGCAAAGGATTCAAATGGGTTGCAAAGAGGCTCCATTCAAACAATGTTTGGGGATGCGTTTCCTCCTTCCATGCGGAGGATAGGCTCTTTGGCTGCTCGAGACCGAGACCGGAGGTTTAAGTGCCGCCAAAATGGTTTGTGGCCGCTGGGAAAGCCCCAATTTGGTCTCGCGTCTGAAGAAATGATGCATAAGACACTGGAGCAGCAGAGTGCAACAGAACTGAATTCCCTTGGCAGCAGACCTCCAATTTCTGTTGAAGAAGGAGAGGAGGTTGAACAGATGGCTGGAAGCCCCAGCATTCAGAGTAGGAGCCCAGTTACAGCTCCTCTTGGTATACCCATGAATTTCAGTCGATGCCGTAGACTTCATTCTAATGTATCATTATGTAGCAAAGATTTCCCAGAGAGCTGTCACGGCAATGGACATCTCCCTGACACCAGGTCTTTGAGGAGCCGTTTGGAGCAAAAGATGGAGAAGGAGGGTTTAACTGTCTCAGTGGATTGTGTAAATCTATTGAATAATGCATTGGATTCGTACTTGAAGAGGTTGATTGAGTCCTTTATGGATTTAGCTGGGTCAAGATCTGGGAATGAGCACGTAAGACAACAAAACAGACAGTTGGTAACCGGTTCAAATGTATTGCTACCTGGAAGATGTATGCAGACAGCGACAAGATCTACTGTTGCATCTGCTTTAGATTTTCGTCTTGCAATGGAATTAAATCCACAAGTTCTTGGACCAGATTGGCCAATACAACTCGAGAAGATTTGCATTCGAGCCGCCGAAGAGTGAAGCTGCCTTTGTTAGCTGTAGATTAGAATTTTACTGGTAGATGAAATCAGAAGGGAAAGAATGGGTAGTTTGCAATTGTTGAAAGCTCGGAGCGTTGAAGCATTTACTTAAGCTGACATTTGGATTTTTGTCTTTTCCTGGGATCGCACAATTTACCAAAATAGAATAAACTATAGCATTTTAGATATAGGATTAATGATTGCTAGGGAGTGAGTCATGTTAATACAAAAAATGTGAACTTCTATCGGATTAAGAAGTTCACTGTTTCATACTTTCATGAGGATCACCATTTTCCAATGGTATCTAGTTCTAATTCTTGTTTCTGTCTTCATTTCTTGTACTTGTTTTAGTTCAACCAATTTTCATTGAAATAAAACGAAGGTTTCATAATTGCATTCTTAATTGTTTATCTCTACAATGGCCGGTCAACTACAACAGGGACTTGAGTTACTGCGACAACTGTCCTTAGTCTTAATTTTCATGGTTAATTTCAAATAAATATGACAGAATTCAAGAGCTAAAGGTTTGAGAAAGTTCAATATATAATATATTATTGTTTAATTATTACATCTTTTTTGCTGCTATCATGTTTCGTTCTGAAGTTTGCAATGGTAGTGCTTACTCTTAATTTTTGCTTCTCATATGCTTCCTTCCCAAGTTTGCATTGGTAGGTTCAATATACAACAGGTTTTGGATTTCATCTTGAATTACTGCGACAACTGTCCTTACTCTTAATTCGCATGGTTAATTTCAAATAAATATGACAGAATTTAAGAGCTAAAGGTTTGAGCAAGTTCAATGTATAATATATTATTGTTTAATTATGACATCTATTTTTGCTGCTCATATGTTTCGTTCTGAAGTTTGCAATGTTGTGCTTCTTGATATTTCCCACGAACTAGGCCATATCAGAGGATTTACTGGACAATCTTGATGAAAGTTAGCCTCATGGTATCTACCTTTCATTTGCTAGGCAATTCTATTTGATTCAGATTTAACTTCTCTCGGGGTTAGCATGTTTAGTTTGTCTCAAAAAGCTGCTGGTTGCTATAGACATCAATAATCCTTTGACTAGCTTAAGCTGCATTGACAATTAATGATTTTTTTTTTTTTTTTTTTTTTTTTTTTTTTTTTTTTGACAAAAAGTAGTATAATATTTAAAACAACTTATCAAAAATTCTGAAAAATAGTACCAATTTAGGGTTGTTTTTGACGCATTAGATTCATGTGTGGTGTGCAATACCATTGGGTTTAATAGATACTTGAATACACGATAATGACAATGCAGTAGCAATGAAAGTTCAAAAGAAACCAGAGGAAGAAAATATAATTATTAAGTAAGAAATAAATGTGTATAATTTTTTGTTTTTTTAAGTATCTTGTGAACCTGAGATAAAATTATATATATATATAT